CAGCCTCAACCTGCTGGGCTCTGGCGATCCTTTCGCCTCAGCCTTCCAAGTAGCTGGAACGACAGGCACGCGCTACCACGTCCGGCTAGTTTTTTATTTATTGTAGAGATGAGGTCTCGCCAAGTTGCCCAGGCGGGTCACGACTGTGTTCCTTTCATTTCCTCACACCCTGTGTTTAATATGTGAACACACTGTGTTTAATATGTGAACACAATCTTTTATTTATTTATTTGTTTATTTTTGGAAGCAAATTCTTATGCATCTACCTTCAAAATGTACCCAGAGCCTGACCATTTCTGATAATCTTTTTTTTTTGAGTTTGAGTCTCACTCTGCTGCCCAGACTAGAGTGCAATGGCCGTTCCCAGCCACCGCAGCCTCGACCTGCTGGGCTCTGGCGATCCTTCCGCCTCAGCCTTCCAAGTAGCTGGAACTACAGGCGTGCGCTACCATGCCCAGCTAATTTTTGATTTATTGTGGAGATGAGGTCTCGCCAAGTTGCCTAGGCGGGTCTCGAACCCATGGGCTCAGGCAATTCACTCCCCTCGGCGTCCCAAAGTGCTAGGATTACAGGCTGAGCCACCAAGCCCGGTCTTTTTCTGATAATCTTTATTGCTACCACTCAGGTTTACAGCACTATCATTTCTTGCCTGGATTCTTGTAAGACCACTTCTAAGTGGTCTTTCTTCTTCTACCCTCTCCCCTCTCTAGGTTATGCTCAGTGTAGTAGCCAGAGTTAGATCTTATCGCTTTTCTGCTCACTCAGAATAAAAGTCAAAATTTTTAAAATAATCTATAAGATCTGCCAAGCACAGTGGCTCACACCTGTAATCCCAGCACTTTGGGAGGCAGAGGCGAGAGGATTGCCTGAGCTCAGGGGTTCAAGACCAGCCTGAGCAACATGGTGAGACCTGGTCTCTACAATAAATAAAAAAATCAGCCAGGCATGGTGGCACATGCCTGTGGTTTCAGCTATTTGTAAGGCTAAGGTGGAAGGATCATCTGAGGCCAGCAGGTCGAGGTGGCTGTGAGTGTGTGAGTGTACCACTGCACTCCAGCCTGAATGACAGAGTGAGACTCCAACTCAAAAAAAAAGAAAAAAAAATCTACAAGATCCTATGTGATTTAGCCCCTCTATTCTTTCTCTGACTTCATCTTCTTTTACACTTGTCTTTGCTAACTCCATTCCCGTCACATTGGGCTGCTTACTGTTCCTAAAACATAAAAGGTGAGCTTCCACTTCAGGGCCTTTGTACTTGTTGTTTCCTTGAAATTTTCTTCCCCTAGATATTTGTATGGCTCGTTTCTTTTCTTTCTTCAGGTCTTTACTCAGATGTCATCTTTTCAGTGAGAACTTCCCTGGCCATCTTCATTTCAACCATGAATACTTTCTGTCTCCTTTTCCCTGCTTTATTCTTCTTCTCAGTACATATCAGCATCATCTATTAGTTATCTTTTTCTAGAATGTAAGCTCCACAAGAGTGGTGATTCTTTTGGCTGAGTTATATGCTGCTGCTTAGAAAAGTGCTTGGTATACTGCAGGTTCTCAATAAATATTAGTTGAGTAAAAGAATGAAAGTCTGTTAGTTCAAGGAGTACCAGTATATTACACGTGTATTTTTTTTTTTTTGAGTTGGAGTCTCACTCTGTCACCCAGGCTGGAGTGCAGTGGCATGCTGCTCATGGCCACCACAGCCTCAACCTGCTAGGTTCAGGCAATCCTTCTGCCTCAGTCTTCCAAGTAGCTGGAACTACAGGTGTGTGCCACCATGCCTGGCTAATTTTTTGATTATTGTAGAGATGAGGGCTTGCCAAGTTGTCCAGGCTGTTCTCGAACCTGTAGGCTTAGGCAATCCTCTCGTCTCAGGCTCCTAAAGTGCTGGGATCACAGGCTTGAGCCACTGTGCCCAGCCTACACGTGTATTCGTTACCTCTTTTCTGATTTCCAAGTTTGCAGTCCCTTCTTGACATCACTCCAGAAAAATTTTCTATCTTCTTAATCTCAGTTTGGCTAGCTGAACTCATTATTATCTCTCTTAGTATTTCACTAAACCTTAGGTCTGTCTTGTTTTTGTTAATGAGAGACCCCCCCCAAAAAAAAAACTTGGCCTGCTCTTTTTCATCTTTTCTCCTCCTATGTTGTAGGTATCTAAATCTAGTTGAAGCTATCTCCTGGATCTTGCTCCAGTTCATTCCCAAGTCTCCATCACCCACTATTTCAATGTTAGCTCAAATATGAGCCTTTTACTCAATGCAGAAATCTCCCATGCGGTTTCCAGTTCATTTATTTACTGCTGCTATTTTAATGCTCATGGTGAAGAGCTTTGCTCAGGTCACTACTCTCTCAGCAAACTGGTGGCTGTCATTTACCTGCTGAATTAAGAAGGCAAATAATCCAGAATTGGCAACTTGCTGTTCTCTGCTCATTCGACTCCTTTTTGTAATGCCTACCTTCTCATTATGAGTTTAAACCGCTCCACCTTTCAAAGTACAAATATCTTCTCTGCTATGTAAGTTCTGGAGGGAAAATAGGGCTGGAGAAGTAGACATGGAAGTGTACACACATTTTATATATCCAGAAGGTGTAGAGATGTAAATCTTTCCTCATTTCTCAGCCAGAAGCAAATTTGTTCAAAGCAATAGATGCACCTGTTCTATCATTATCACACTATTTTACAAGAATTAACTTTTTTTTTTTGTTCTCCACCAAAAGAATCAGATAAGAATGAACTGTATGATGCTTTTTTCTCGCAACGATTAAGAACTTCTGGGAACAAAGATACTTCATATTCGTTTATAAAATCTCCGTGCACCTAACTCTAGCAGACATCAAAAAACAAGCAAATTTAAAAAACCACAAAAGGCAGTGAAGGCTTCGGATTAGGTTACCTGGTTTAAACTCGTTGAATGTCAGAACTGGAGGAAGAGTTAAAGATCATCTTTCAACCTATTCATTTATACATGGAAAAAGTGAGGCCCTGAGCGGGTATGACTGGCACCAGGTCGCTGACCCTGAACAGAAACTAGATGTCCTAATTCTCAAGTAGGACTCGCTGCTAAGTCTTTATGCAACCTTGCGCAATTCAAGGCTCTTGGGTTCCTCGCCTCGGTCGCCTTTCCAACCCCGAGTCTCAGCCTCCAAGCGATCTCCTCCTTTCCTCTTCTCCCTTAGGTCAAGAAGGTTTACTCATTCCAGCTGCAACGCTCCAGCTTGGAGTTGTTCCGCCCTAGGGGAGAGATTAGTTACGTCACCGCCGGCTCCTCCCATTGGTCCGGGCGGGTGGAGCGCGGCGCCATGACGCCAGACGCCTAAAGGGGCGGGGCGGCGAGGGAAAGGAGGAGGGAAGTAGGACTTCAACATGGCGGCTGCGGTACTGGCGGTGGTTACGGTGACGGCCTGGCCCGGGGCGGACAGAGTTGGAGGTGGTGGCGTTTGCTCTCCCTAGGGGCCGTCGGGAGCTCAGCGAAGACCGACCTGGGAGGCCGGCTGGCGCCAGCACCTTTCGGGTTCTGGGACGACGGCATTAGCGGCGTTCAGGTGAGGGGGCCTCCCTCTGGGGGAGGGGGAGAAAGAGGGGCGGAGTTGGGGGAGGGGGCCGGTACTGGGAGACTGATGGGGGAGGGTCAAGGGAAAGGGACTGGGGGCCGAGCGGGACGAAAGGAGCTGGAGCTGGGGGGTGGGAGAGAGAAGGAGCAGGAGATCAGTGACTAGGGGAGGATTCTGGGAGAAGTGCCGGACTGAGGGACCAGAGTTGAAGGGGCGGAGGGCGGATGGGATGCGGGAAAATGAGTTCGGATTAAGGGAACTAATACCCTACAGGAAAATAGGCGCAGTAGACACCTACCCGGCTGGAGTGAGAGCTCAGTGGGAACTAGAGAATGTTGGGAGGGGGCCCAGGTTTTAGTAAAAAGGGTGAGCGATTTAGAGTTGAGGGTGAGCTGGGGACATGAGGTGTAGATTTAGTTCTTCCTGAGGCAGTGAGATTAAGGAGAAACGGAGGAGGCCAGACCGGGGGTGAGTGCTCTTTGGGGATATATTTGACATTGTCTGGTCTTCTCCAGGTATGTTTATCTTGCCTTTTTTGTTTGCTTTTTGGGTGGAACCTTACCTGTACAGTCCACCTGGGCCTCAGAAACAGCTCCAAATCCTTGTGGAACGTCAAGTTATAGCTCGTTTATTTGAGCATTATCAGTGATCTCTGACCTTTGTGGTGTTGCCATATGTAATTGTTTCCAGTCTAGCGTCTTAAAAGTGTGGCTCGACACCATAACACACATGTTAAACTGAAATAAGATGTTGAAACTTTTTAGACGCCATGGAGTGTTGCAAAAAATAAATTTGGTAGTTTAGCTAACTACTGAACATATTCTGTTCTAATCCTCCTTACTAGTGTTTTATCTCCTTAGTTATAATTATTAATATTTGAGAATTTGGGTAGATAGGATGAATATTTCCCTTTTGAATTTTGTCAGATTTGATGGTGGAGAGAAACAAGGCATTAGTCTTTAGTGATAAATAGCTCTTTCTAGTTAATGTCTCAACCTAGCTAAACTAAACATTTCTGTATTATAACAAAGAATGTGAAATATTCAAAGTTTAAAATAATTACATTGTCTCCATTAACTTATCTTAAATGAAATTTTATCAGTTAAATTTTGTTTCTAGTTCATCTTATTCATTCTGTTTATTGAATGTCCACTGTGTGTTGCATTAATAAAATTCATTGTAATTCAGGAAATGGGAAAATTAATGTTTCTCTAGTGAGCATCTTTGTCATTGCACAGCAAATATTATTAACCTTATTGGAAAAAAAAGTGTTATTTTTAAAATGAAGGCAAAGAAGAAAATTAAAGTATGTGAATATAAAAACTTTAGTTTCTCTTTTGTGTAGTATTTAAGACTCATTACCTCATCATGACATTTTGTGAATATCTGAAAGATGTTTTCATTTTATTTTGAAGACGACAGTAACAGTATCCTGATAAGATAATATTAGGTCTGTAGGCAAGTCTCATCGGTGCACTTTTTCTTTTTGGAGTTGGGGTCTCACTTTGTCACTCAGGCTGGAATGCAGTGGCAGATCACGGCACACTGCAGCCTCGACCTCCTGGGCTCAGGCAACCTTCTACCTCAGCCTCCCAAATAGCTGAGAGTACAGGCACCTGCCACCTTGCCTGGATAATTTAAAAAAATTTTTTGTAGAGATGAGGTCTTGCTATGTTGTGCTGGCTAGTCTCAGACTCCTGGGTTCAAGTGATCCTCCTGCTTTGGCCTCTCAAAGCATTGGAATTACAGATGTGAGCCACTGCACCTGGCCTGTGTACATCTTTTTGACTGGCAAATGTCATTTTATCTTGTGTGTCTTTTATCTTTTAAGTATGATTTTTTTTTTTTTTGAGTTGGAGTCTCACTCTGTCGCCCAGACTGGAGTGCAATAGCTGCTCCCGGCCACCGCAGCCTCAACCTGCTAGGCTCCGGCGATCCTTTAGCCTCAGCCTTCCAAGTAGTCGGAATTACAGGCATGTGCTACCATGCCCGGCTGATTTTTTGATTTACTGTAGAGATGAG